TAATTCCCACTCGTGGGTTGATGACATCTTTCTGCTCAAGGTATCTGCTTCTTGGTTGTGTACTCCTGCTAGATGGATCGCTGTGAGCGAAATCCCTCTGGGAATACACCAGTCCCAAATCTGCATGGATTTATCTGTTTGTTCAGATAAAAAATGGTAACTGTGTTGTCGGAGGCCACCTGCACCGATCGGTTCCGTAACATGGGTTTGAAAGATTGTAGTGCCTTGAAAACTGCTAGCAAGTGGAGAAAGTTGATGTGGTTGGACCTCTCGTGTGCTTGCCAGGTGCCCTGTGTCTGTAGGTTGGAACAGTGCACTCCCCAACCCGTGAGAGATGCATCGGTATGGAGCGAAATGGAGAGTTGTTGCTGGTGAAACAGAACGCCGACGGTGAGATTGTCAGGGTTCATCCACCATGTCAGAGTCTGCCGAACTGAAGCGGGAGGAAGGAGATGTTGCCTTGGGGAGTCGCGGAGTGGCTGGAACACTGTGTTGAACCACAACTGGAGTAGTCGCATTCGTAGTCTGGCATTCGGAACCACTACGACAGTTGACACCATGTGACCCAGCAGTTTTTGAATAAGCAAAGCTCGAACTTGCCTGCCCTTGTGAACCCGAGCGGCTACTGAACAAAGTCTGTCCATTCAGGTTCGTGGTAAAAATGCTCGTGCTCGGACCAAATTTAGTTGCGCTCTGATGAACTCGATGACCTGTGAAGGAGTGAGACAGGATTTCTCGGTATTAATAACAAGACCCAAGTCCTTCAGACGAGTGCACGTAAGGTGAATGTCTGCAACAAGTCAGTCCTGAGATGCGGAAACGATGAGCCAATCGTCTAAACAAGGATAAATTTGGACACCTTGTTGATGAAGGTGAGCACATATCTGAGCCATGCACTTTGTAAATACCCCGGGGGCTGTGGCAAGTCCGAATGGGAGGACATTATATTCAAAAATGTTGGAGCCAACTGTAAATCGGAGAAACCTCCTATAAAACAGACAGATACCTATATGGAAATAGGTGTCCTTCAGATCAATGGATGTGAACCAATCTTCTCTCTCTAGCAGGAAGAATATTTTATAAGGTGGTCATACGGAATTTCTTAGTCGTAATAAAGGCATTGATGCCCCTTAGATCGAGTATGGGGTGTAGGCCACCATCTCTCTTCGGTACCGTAAAATATTTAGAGTAGAAACTGCAGGATCCATCGGAATGGGAGAGTTAGCGGATTGCTCCCTTATGAAGTAGCTGGGATACTTCTTCTAAGAATTTCTGATGAGGCAGTATATAGTCCCGGACCTGAAGGGGAGATGACGTCAAACTCAATTCTATATCCAAATTCAATTATGGAAAGGACCCATTTGTCAGATGTGATGGTCTCCCAAAGAGGGAGCCGGCCTTGCAGCCGGTCCCCATAGGGAGGGAGGAGGGGTGTAGGAGAGAGAGGATCGGTTCACAGAGCCCATCAACGTTGCCTCTTATCAATGGGTTGGCGGCGGTGGCCCTGTTGATATTGGGCGGCCAGTTGCGTGCGATTCCGTTGTTACTGCTGGGGGAAGTGTTGGCGTGACTGGAAATGGTGGTAAGGTTGATATCTTGGGTATCGAGATTGATGCCACTTACGACGGCTCAAGCCCGGGATCTCCATCTTCCTGGTGGTGGCCCGAGCATTATAAATATGCTCGAGCTTGTGGTCCGTCCTATTGTGGAAGAGGCCCAATCCGTCGAATGGCATCCACTCGATCTGTCTTTTGGTTTCCTCCGAGAAGTTGCATGAGTGTAACCAGGCATGCCTTCAGAGAGTGACAGATCCAACTAGAGTGCGGGAATCGCAGTTGACATGATGGCGGACTGTCGTGAGCTGTTAGATCGCGAGTTGCATCGCCTCCCTTATGAAGACCCGGACTAGGTCACGTTGTTGCTCTGGGATGGACGAGGTGATCGAATCCAACTGCTCCATCAGAAAATACTGATACCTCGCCATCGTCGCCTGGTAGTTGAAGATTCTCAAGCCCAGTCCCATAGCCGCATAAATGCGCCTCGCCATAAGGTCGATTTTTCTTCCTTCCTTGTCCCTTGGGGCCGAGTGCTCTCTGTTGTCTTGCCCCTGAGAGGACTCAACCACGATGGAGTTGGGCTTCGGATGTTTAAGAAAGAAGGGAATGTCTTGCTCCTTAACTTTGTACATTGATTCGTACCTTCGGGATGTCTACTGAGGTTGATCAGGAGAGGTCCAGGTATCCTTCATAGCCTCCCGTAGGGTTGTAATCAACAGGATGGTAATCGTGGAAGATTGCTCTTTACAGACAATATTATAAAAGTTGTCCTTGTTAACATTGGGCTGATGCTCAACCACAATCTCCAAAGCTCTAGTTAAGTGTCCCATAAGTTCACTGAAGGTAGCATAGGACTCTTTGGGTGACCCAGGACCCTGGGTGGATATGATATGAGTCGTATGGATATGGAGGACTGGAGGAAGATTGAGCCGGAGAATGAGGATGGTGAGAGGTTGTTGGCGCCGAAGTATAAGGGACTTTAGCCCTTGCCTGACGGGATCAATTACCGTATTCCCTCGGTATGTAGTAGCCGTATGGGGGTGGACCCCAGTATTGAGGCTGCGAAGCCTCTGGCCCTTCATAAGGCATCGGGACCCATGATCTGGCAGATTGTCCCGATGAGCGGCAATGCTGGTGGGATTCCACCACCACGGGCCTCCTGGGAGCCTCTGGAGAGGACGGCATCGGAGTCGGCGAACGAGCCGGTTGATGGCAAGGCAAAGATCTTGGGGGAGAGTCACGGATCTCTCCATCCAACATCGACCCATGAACGACCCGTTTAGGTGGATGTAACATGGTTGGGACCGCAGGTTCAACCCTCTGTGGGGATCTGTGCGGCGTGACTTGCATTAGCTCTCTCATTGTCAGTGCCGAGGGTGTCGGGACCGATGGTGCTGTCTGGACTGAAAGGGTGGTTGAATCCGAATCGCTCCAAGATTCCAGAGCAGGCCTATGCTTCCTGCTGGCCTTGCTTGATTTATCTCTCTTGGCCTTCTTCAGGACCGATGGCTCCCCGTGGTCAGAATGCTTCTGCTTCCCCTTTTGTTTGATCAAGGAATGGGAGGAGCGAGAGGTCTCCTCGGAAGCAACTCCCCCAGATGGTGGGTGAGGGGAGGTCACCATGGAAGGGCCGGCTGGCATAGGCTGAGTGGCGAGCTCATCAGAGGCTAGTAAGGCCTGATCCCAAAGGATCTTTCTTAGCCTATTCTCTTGGTTCTTCCTGGCCTGTTTAGTGAAGGCCTGGCAGTGCCCGCATTTGTTGGTGCGATGCCCATCTCCCAGGCAGAAGAGGCAGAGCTCGTATGGGTCCGCTGGGGACATTTTAGTCCCGCATTTCGAACACTTTCGAAACGCCGCACACTGAGCCCCCGAGAAGATCAGAAGAGGGATAGTAAAGGTAAGAGAAAAAGTAGAAATACTAACTATATATATATATATGTATGTATGTATGTATGTATGTATGTATGTATGTAAAGAGGAAAGGATTAACCAGGAAACAAGGGAAAAGAACTTAGATTCAATGGGTAAGAACGATTCTAGAACAAACAAGTAAGTACGAGAAGACAAGGTAATGGCTCGAGGCAATGTGATCTGCGGTTGAAAGAAGACTGAGGAAAATGGCGGATGCTCCACTTTATATAGCACCAGGGGGAGGGGTGCGGAGTTCCCGCCAAAAACCATTGTAGCTTGGTTATTCTGGCCAAAAACAGGCACAGCGCAGGCACAGAACCCAGTACGTGTGATGAACAGAGACCACGAAGAAGAACTGTGCATGCCTTGTTCACATTCAGATTAGAGAACTGCACTGCATCCTACCTGTGTCTGCCCGTGAAGTGTTCAGAAATTTCAGCAGGTGCAGTATTCACTGCCTAAATTGTCATTTAGGTTTTACATTTAAGAACATTTTACTCCAACCTTTTAATGTAAACTTGCTCCAAATTTGTTGCTCCAGATTTGTTTCTTGTGCAATACAAAGTGCTATTTATAGGTATATAAAGCCCTAAATTGTTTGGGACCATAATATTTAAAGGGCCTCATTTTTCCACATGAGCCTGCTCTCTGGCTGCAATCATCATCTGAGGGCTTTCCTGGCATCCCAAGGTTTGTGATGCTGGGCAGGTCATTTTCAGTTCTGATACTCAGGGAGTAGCATTCTCTTGCTTGGAAGGCCGAAATCTCTCCCCCCCGCCCCATGGCTGTTCATTACTTATTTATTGTTATATCAAAATATTAGTTTAATCTGACATTTTCCCACATAGCTGTTGCATATTTTACTTAGGTCTGGTTCTAGATTTCCATTTTGTTTTAATTAATGATTGAGAGTAACCTTGAAGTTAAGTTACTTCCCAATGTCAGGATCAGGCCTGAGCAACCCTGCAAGTGCTTGCAGAACCAGGAATACCCCTGCAGGCTCTTGCAGGAAACACCTGAGAAGCAATTATGCAGTGCAGCTGGAGGCCCTGGAGACCAGCATAAAAGGCTTCCTGACACTGCTGCTCTTTGCCAGAGCAATACAGATAGTTTCTGGGATGTCTTCCCTCCTGTATAATATTGTACTGCCTGCTACCCTGATCCTGACCTGCTGACCACACCACCAGCCTCTAGCCCAACCAAGCTGTAGAACCTAGCTTCACACCTGCACCCTGGTCCTGGAGTTCTGCCTGTCCGAGCTTCCACCCATGTCCTGGCTGTTATACTTATTCTCAAGAAAGCCAGCTAGCCAATAACTTTGCTTATAGAGGGACACTTGCTGCTTCTACAAAGATACTTGTCACAGAGCTTTTAAAAAAACATCTTAGCCCAAGTCAAAGGTTTCTCATTTTCAGAACTTTATTTTAATCAAAGCCATATCTTTAAAGCTACATGTCAGTGAGAACTGTGCACGTTTACATCTCTTTCCAATAAGAAAATCGGGGGAGACCCAATAGCTCTTTGTGCACTTACCATGGGCTGCAGATGCCAAGAGCATAGTGAGGAACAGCAGCTGTGGTGACCACATGACTGTGGACCAAAACTTAAGGCTACTTGAGCAATTAAGTTTCCAAAAAAAATGAAGCAAGGTTTCTCTTTGCTGGCAGCTGTCCAGGAGATATTCGCTTTAATCCAGTGGGAGGAATGGACTAGCACCCACACCAACTCTGTCACCTAGTACCCAAAACTCAAGACCTAGAAAGAAAAAGAAAAAGAAAAATTAGCAAAATATCAGGAGTTTCTGCTTAAGACAGTCACTGTGAACTGGTACAGTTATACCAAGAAGCAAGCCTTCCCAACTATTTTTGTTACTGTGAATTGAGTAAATTCATATCAAGACTGAACTCACAATATTGCACCATTTTCATTCTTTTAAAAATAGTTTCCAGCATAGCTTATAACTGATGTTAATAATGATGTTGAATAAATATTGTCATTATCTTCTTAGATGTATCTTAAGTGTTACAGAGAATCTCAGCCATGATAGCTTATATATCTTGCAAGGGAGCCAGCTCTCCTCTCCATGTAGGAGGAGACCTGAGTGAGGAAATGTCTCAGCTCCAGTGACGAAGCATCAGCCCACACATGAGTTAAGTAATTGGGTGAGGAGAAGGTAAGTGCTAATTTACTGATCTCCTTAAATATCTATATAAATTACTCCAGGTAATCATCCCAAACTTACAGATTAATAGCTGAAAGTAGGGCAAGAACATAGCAAGAGAGCAAAATGTTACCTGTTTCACATGCAGGGCCAACTAGAAAAGGCAAAACTGAGGAGTCTCAATGCATAGATGAGATGGTGGTATGGACAGGAAGGGTACGAAACTGTTAGGCACTGGGGAACATTTTGGGACAAGCTGGGCCTGCATGGAAGGATGGGGTCCATTTGAACCAAAATGGAGACAGACTGCTGATGTATAACATTAAAAAGTTACAGAGCAACTTTTAAACTTAACCCTGAGGGAAAGCTGACAGGATCTGGGAAGCATCTAATTCAGGTCAAATCATCAGAACTTCTTCACACAATATATAGTTAAATGATGGAATTCGCTGCCATGGAAGTGGTGATGGCTGCTAATCTGGATGGCTTTGAAAAGAGATCAGACAGATTCACGAGGGAGGGGGCTGTCAGTGGCTATGAACCTTGCAGGCCATGTGCTACCTCCTCTAGCATGTGTGGCATGCCTGCATACACAAGCTGCTGAGGAGCTTGTGCAGCAGGAGGTCTTACAGCTGGTTTGCCACCATGTATATGGAGTCCTGGAGTCGATGGACCTTTGGTCTAATTCAGTATGGCTTTTCTTATGTTCTTAACTACAAGTGGAACAGGAGACAGGGTTGGAAAGAAATCCAGAAGTCAGGATGAAACAGCAAGACAGGCCTAAAAGACAAACCAGGGATAGGTGTGGAGAAAAGGCTAGAAGCTAGGACCCTATTCAGAATGTCCCAGAAATGGCATGGATAACTGGCTTGGTCTGTAAGGCTCCATCCAAGGGATCCAAGACTGGTGCTGATGGAGGATCCCTTTTTTGCACCTGTATTGAAAGGATGGAGTACAGCTGAATGAAGGTGTGATGCCCTGGAGAAATGCATTAGGCACAGGTGGGGGACTGGAGGAACAAGCATGTGCCAGTTGAGGAAGTGGGAGAAGAACCCAGAAGTCTGATCAAGTCACTGAAAGAGTCCAAAAGAGAGACACCTTAATTATTAGGTCAAGGCCATGAGGCCCGGAGGGGGGAGGGGTGGAAACCCTTCTGGGGACTTGTTGAGCCAGGGATAGTGGTGAAATGGTAAGGCTACATGATTTAAGCTCAGGCTTTGAAAAGCCATGAGCAAGAAGGTGCACCTGCTCTTTGTCCTGAGCCAGGATGAAACTGAACAAGTGGAGATGAGGTGGCGGGAGAAGGGCTCAGACATCTTATTCTTAAGGTTCATGCTCACACTCTGGATGAAGGTTAGTTGAATAGTTTACATTCATCCCACTGGAGATTCCTTTAACAAGTTACTGTAGCTACGGCCCTTGCTCACGCAATTATACTTGTGTCATCTATGATGGGTCTAAGCGAAAACTACATGGGTTGAAAATGGCTTTGGCAAAGATTATACGTTTGCAATCAGATGGATGTAAAAAGCTCAGCTTAAAACTATTTCAAAGCATATCACTAATTGCCTATATAAAATATGAGCAGGTGTCAAAATTTTCCTGGCTAATAAATAAATAAATAAATAAATATCCAGGTAGGTAGCAATTTCAGTAGGAATGTTCTCCAAAGGAAAATTAAACTTAATTGCCTTTTGGATCTGTAAGATGTAATAAATTTCTATTAATGTTTAGGAACAAACTTGGTTTAATGATCATTGCTATTTTTATCTGCAGGGTGACATGAGGTTTAAATGTAAAACTGATTTATGTTTTACACTAGAATGGTGTTCTTGCAGACTCTCCTTGAGTTAACCTTTCACACCTTTCAAGACATTTATTATAATTTTAGTTCTAATATGTTACAGGCAAACAGAAGCATATTTGCACTGCTGAATGAGAATTTCTTTTGATATACAAAATATTTTATTTAGTTAGTTTTAAAGGAAGAATATGGTCAATAAGTAACCATACAGCAAATTTTCAGTAGACATAAAGACCAAGAAAAACATCTTTAACTTGCCTCTACATAGAAGCACACCTCATGATCTGTTATATGGACCAGTGCTCAAGTCCAACAGGCAAACAAACCATGTTAGTCAGACTGAACTAATTCAAAGTTCTGGTGTGTGCAGTCTTCTGTTCAACCTTTCTCCAAGCAAAATCCTCCTGTACATGGAAAGTTAACATCTGCTGTTTAAATAGAAAGCTGGCTTTTATGGAATCTTGTGTGTGGAAAACACACACTGGGAACAATAATATAAATGTGTGTGTAACGAAGTTATAAAATGCATCATTCAGTATATTTTTACTTTAGGTTTATAAAATGTGCACTTGGTACCTTCCATCACTGATTTTAAATATAATTCTGCATAGGTTAGTCCTTGCATTATCCAGAAGATCAAACGAATGAGTTTTAAAAATTTATTCTTAGAAGCAAATAAAATCTGTTCACCTTTGATATTTAGCATTTACTCAGCTTCTGTTAATCTTCAAGCCTAATGCTTTCAGAAATAAAGCATTTCAAGGCATAGGAGAGCATTTGCTCTTGTAATACCTTCAGACTACTTTTTTGGCTGCAATCCTATGGCCTCCCAAGACTATCTGGGGAGACCATAGGATTTTTCAGAGCTCCAGCATTAATGACCTCAGAGCTTGATGCTGGAACTCTGCTGGCTGAGTCACCCCCCCCACCCACCCACCCACCCCTTGGAAAGAACTGAGCTGGCTGCACTGCACTGGCGAGAGGAAATGGAGTGTGCTTGGGAGTGGGGGCTGAGAGGAGCCTGGGAATGCCTGCCTATTGTGCCTGGAAGAGTGGACTCTAACCCCTTGCTCTCATGATCATAAAGTTCATGCGCCACAGTTGTTGCCTGCTGGAGATTCAAAAAACTGCTCTCTTGATGCTCCACCGGCTCCCCCTTGACTCAGGCAGGCTACCAGCCATCACTGCAGAGAACCCTGGTGAGAGTTCATCAGTTGATCAGTTTGGATCCTGGAAAACTGTCTGATATTATGCTCTTTTGTCCCACTTTCTGATACGAATTAGTACATTAGATAAACTACAGCTACTTTTATTGACCATAACAATAACAAGGTGGATATGAACAACCAAACTATCTAATTAAAGTTTAGTTTGTTTTAATAGAGACTCTTTAGCTATGTTTTTGAACATTACTTCTCCATGTTAAGTGACATCTGAATTTTATTGCTAAGCCTGTTAATACTAACTGATAGAGGGAATGATCCTGCGGCCCCTAAACGTAATCTGGGGACATATAGGGGAGTATGGATTCCCAGCTTCAAGACTGGAGACAGCGCTTGAACCTTGGAGCTAGAACTCAAGAGCTCTGATCCCCTTTTCTCTGCCTCCTGAAAGCCAGCAAGGAAGGAACCACATTGGCTGCTCCCCACAGTCTGGGGTGTGACATCAGGGAGGGAAAAGGAGAGACTCGTGGTTATCAGAAACAGCTTCAGTCTGCTTTCTCCTCCTCTGGGACATCCCCGCTTGTCAGCTGAGCCAACCATCTAGTGAAGATGCAGAGAAGGTGGGGCTGAAGCTCACCTCTGTGGCTCCTAAAAAGGACTAGGAACACTTACACTGTGAGAAATAGCAAAAATGCATCCTCATTCTTGGGTAGCCACTGATGCTGAATAATGCATATGCACAAACCAGCAGTTATAGCTTTACAGAATTAAATGTCACAGTAGAAACATGTAAAATATTACTTAGCTTATTAAATACTGGTATCCTCAAATAAAATGCAGGATGTTGTTTGTGCATGCACACACAACAACGGGCTGTTTCTTGGATTTAAACTTGCTGATGATCCATGCCATGCTATAATTAAACCTTATATGCATCCCTCCTTTAATTTTGAAAATTAAGAATGCTTTGCACTTAGCATTATTTATTCTGGAATGGCAAGTTTCTCCTACTTTACATTTCAGTTACATACACTAAATAACACAGCAACCGTGTTATTTAGTACACTCCAAGGCCAGGGTGAGCAACCTTTTTGCAAGCATTGCCTGCAGGCAGCTGGTATGGCTAAAGCCAATAGTGGACAGGATCTTTTCTCTGATTCCCCAAGCATCTCTCTCTTTCCTCCCCCCACCCCCACCCCCTCTGTGCTTTCCCCTGAGTCTCACAACACACTCAAGCACAGGCAGATGCAAGCAGACACACAAGCATCCTCCTCCTCCTCATTCTTACCTCCTGCCTGCTGTGCTGAGTTCCCACCACACCTCACCCCTCCCTCTTGCCCAGCAGATTGATGCCAATCCCATCATTCAGGGTTCCACAGCAGACTGGTGCTGGGACAGGAGAAAGGAGTCTCCACAGGGGGGCTGCCCCTTCCTCTCCCGTTTTGCAGAAAAGCTTTTAGTGTCACATAAAAAACCTATCCATCTTTCCCAAAACAGGGAGAATGGTGTGCTGGACATATACATTTCCAGGATGTAAAGTGTGATGGCTCCCTGGGCAGGCAAGTGCATGGGCAGGGGCCCCTGAGGACAGCCT